AGTCAGTCAGTTGTAACAGTAACATGTCATTTTATCTGTTTGGATGTTCTCTGCTGCTTTTCTATGTTGTTCTCTGCTTTGGTTTGCTCTGCAATCTGTGTTATGCAAACATGTGTATCTGCAACTTTGACAACAAATGATTTTGCTGTACATACTTTTTTAATTCCCTGAGTACCAAAGAATAAACTATTTTTTTAAAGACATTATTGTCTTCTTTTCCCAAAGCAGATTTCCGATAGCTTGATGGTAGCTTGTGGTAAGTGGAAAAACATGTGTCTCAACATAAATACTTGAATGTAGTAACAGCATCTAAAGCTTTGCTTTTGTAAAACCATTTTTCCCGCAATGGTGGAACTAGAATACCTATCTGTAACCCATACTTTCCATTTGAAAGGAAAAACATGTACATCTTTATAAGTATGCTGGTATTATCTATGTACACAGCTGGATGACTTAGAATACTTAGAAAAAACATGTATATCTATATATATATATGACTGTATTATCTGTGTGTACGACTGACAGAATTTAGAATACCTATCTGCAACCCATACCTTCCAATTGAAAGGGGAAATATGTACTTCTTTATATATATGACTGTATTATCTGTGTGTACGACTGACAGAATTTAGAATACCTATCTGCAACCCACACCTTCCAACTGAAAGGGGAAATATGTACATCTTTATATATATATATATAAGACTGTATTATATGCACGATTGGACGAAGTTAGAATAGGTATACTTAAAATTAAAGGGCAAAGCATGTACATCTATCTATCTATGTATTATATATATGTATTTACATATGACTGTATCATATACATGTTGTAGAGTGGGAACGAAAATGGAAATGAAAAAAAAAATCCCGCAATGACAGTATACCCCCGTTTTTTTAAACAATTACCTTAGTTTTCGCAATGTTGTCCGTTATGCATGACGTTTCGCTAAACTCCTTACAATATCATCAGCAAAGAGCAGTAAAGAGATTCGTAGAATACCGGGATGTAATTGTATACAACCTTGGCATTTATCGTATATTACCATGGATAATTAATTAAAAAAGAATAAAAAGAGGTAAGGTCTTAATATGCATCCTTGTCTTACTCCTAAATTGCATTCACATGTATTACTGAAATTACGGCTTTATCTCATCAAAGCTTATACGTCTGCCTAGATACTCACTCACTTACATCTGCCTGAATACAGGACAATAGTTTTGACATGTCATATCTACACCCAGAATATTATAATTAAGGACACTTAAGGAGTGAACCTGCCCTGTCTCTGAACATACACGCACGTAATTTACGGACGTGTTTTCCTGATGCTCGACGTCTGTCCTGAACCATCCGTTTCTTCACATTTTGTTTAATGTGACGGCGTTCTGTCGATAAGACACGTCCTAGTGATTGATATCATGAGCACCGTCGGGTACGACTGCATACCCTTTACCAAGTCAGCGAGCCTGACCACCCGATCCCATTTAGTCATCCACTACGTCAAGCATGGGAACTGTTTCAAAAATGAAATCCCCCAAGGAAAGTTCCACTGGTTGAATTTTGTTGAACGCCGCACTTAATTCATTAATTCATCTTAGTCCGACGGTCTGTGGAATGGAATCTGAGTCACAGTTACATCTACACCCGACATTCTGTTCTCAATGGTATATGTACACCCGACTTTCTGTTATCCACACCCGACATTCTCTTATCAATAGTATATCTACACCCGATTCTCTGTGCTCAATATTATATCTACACCCGATTTTCTGTTCTCAATTGTATATGTACACCAGACTTTCTGTTATCCATGGAATATCTACACCCGACATTCTGTTCTCAATGGTACATCTACACCCGACATTCTGTTCTCAATGGTACATCTACACCCGACTCTCTATTATGCATGGTATATCTACCAGAGTTATAGCAACAATATGTCGTGGATAACTAAAAGGGGAGGTTAATCGGGACGAATCTAATTCATCATAGAGAGGGAATATCTACACCTGACTTTCTGTTCTCAATGGTACATCTACACCCGACATTCTGTTCTCAATGGTATACGTACACCCGACTTTATGTTATCCATGGTATATCTACACCGATATTCTGATCTCAATAGTATATCTACACCCGATTCTCTATTATGCATGGTATATCTACACCTGATACTCCGTTATCAATGGTATATCTACACCCGACATTCTGTTATCAATGGTATATCTACACCCGATTCTTTATTATGCATGGTATATCTGCATCGGACATTCTGTTATCAATGGTATTTTTGCACCCGACATTCTGTCATCAAATTTGGATCTGATTTGCATTACCGATATTAAGCAGCTCAGTAATCTTTTTTTTCATATATACGTCCTGATCATTTGCTTAATATTTGAAAAGGAAAAATTAATATTGTTTCACTATTGGACATTGCTATATGAAAAAGGTTGTAATTCGACATTGCTTAATCATTGAACACAAAGTTACAACTCAACATTCCATGGAAAATAAATGCAAGGATCTTTTTTTATAAAATATATCATTTTGTCACTTGAATCAATATGCCTCGATAAATTGTTTAACACGCTTCTTATTTTAGATATAGATATGTATACTTTGATCATAAAATCTAAAACATATGTATTATATTTTTTTTCTGAACCATTTCTTCAGTCAATATAGTCCATACAACGACTTGAGTAAATAGAGTTCCTACTCCCGTGGTCGAATTCTGCAAGTCATTCAACGGATATGTCGAACGTTGTGAATTTTTTCATGGGCAATCTTTCAGACTGCCCCAAGTGGTGATCGTTGCTGCACGTCAGACCACTGATTTTTGGTTTGCTACGTATTCGGTGACAGGCTAGGCGAGTTACGGTGTGCACGCTTTCCGCGAGTGATCAGTCCCATGACTCCATTCTGCACGTTCCTTTCCGCGATCGGAGATTATCATTACATTACCGTTATGCAGTCACAACAATCGTTTCACAGGTGTCCTACTTATCTGAAAGAGAATATCGCGCTCACATACCTGTGTTGTAGTGCACTAATGCTCCGGGAATGTTCACGTTAAAGGGGCACTGATCCAGAGCGATTAATGTTTCGTAACAACAATCTAATTACGAAAAAAACTATTTCTTCATCAACTTTGAGGTCAGAGATTTTAGAAAAACATTGATAACTCACATATATGGGTTATCAACTAGATAAATTGATCTTTTATCCTTTTAATGACACTTATGAAAACATGAAGTACTCACATACAAAGGGAGATTGAAAGGACGTATTAAATATTTAGATGGGTCTTTGATCTTTTACATGACATTTAGAAACATGAAGTACTTACATTTTTGGATTATATCTTTAAAACAATATTTTCAAAGGCATAAGTTGTAAGTGGCAAAGTGTCTTACATTTACATGAAGTACTTATATTTTGTGATTATATCGGACAGAATAGATATTCAAGTTCATCTTTGATCTTTAAAACAATGTTTTGAAGTATGAATGAATACGAGTCAGTAGACATTAATATTCATCAATAATCTGTAGTAGGAATGAAGCTGAAAACCCCTGTAATGTATATAGGATCTGTCTATTTTACATTTATTGTATGAACATACAATACATGAAAGTCAATAAACGCTATGAAAAACTATAAAAAAATAACAAATACTTTTAATTCTTTTGTCAAAAATTCCTTTTTCAAAATAGGACTTTTCCGGAGGACTTTTTTTCCTAGACAAATTTAGGACTTTTTTTTCGGTACTTTTTTTCTGAGGACTTTTTTTCCGCACACCGTCATACAGACCTGAAGCAAATATATCCGCGAAAGCCCACGCAAGTCTAGAAAATGTGGCAAGTCTAGATTTCCACAGAAAATGAATAAAGTCTCGGGCTCCTTTTCGTCATATATTTTTTTTACAATGATTTTTTTCTGTAGAATGTGTTCATTTCAGAGACTAGTTCTTAGTCTAGAATCCTAGCTGCTTGGTGGCCAGTCCCTGATCCCTCGACCGTGATGGACACGGAGACTGGGCTACTGTCCACCTTGGCAGGGACATTAAGAAGGGGGTGGGGGGTGGGGGTGCCCAAGAAATGCTGTTATTTGAAAATATCTCGTGTGGTTCTTGTCTGATTGTAAAGTATCCCAGCAGTGTAGGCTTTTTCGGATTTTGTAATGCGTGGATGGTATGATGACTGATCCAATTTCACGTCATGTTAAAATGACATGTCTATTACCTATGACATAAAAACACACATTTGATTTATTTCATACCGTAAACTAACAACCCCACATTGCCATTGCTAGAAAAATCTGAAAATGAACTTCGGTAATTAGGTATGTACAGTTCTTAACTTTAGCACACAACAAGGCTTATATGTATTCCTTATGCAATAATGAAGTTCCGTTAGTATCCTCAAAACAATGTCCACCCGTCCATGGTTTAGGCAATTGAAATTGCATGCAACGCAGCGTTTACTATTCCCTTGCTGAAACCCATGTCAAGTTGGTGGTATAAACCTACACTTGTATTTGTCATCGATCACTTGACGCTCATTCAATGAATTTATAGCAGGCATAATTAGTGGTAACACCATTCTGATTACCCGACAAAGGTTCCCATTTGGCATTTCTCGTGTTTGGCGGAACTACTCAACATTATGAATTGAGGTCTCATGTGATAAATATATTACATGTTATGTAGAATGCCCATGGAAGCTGAATTATTAGCTGAGTTGAAAACAAAAGATCGATCAAAGGATTAACCGATAACACGCTGATTGATTAATTACTTGCACAGCGGATTGGTCAAAAGGTAGTGTTCATGTATGGAGATTTACTTCCGTATACTGAATACATCCACATTCTGCCCTAAAGTGCATGTGTAAAAACAACGTCCTTCATTCAAATGAATAACCGCCAATACGTTGATTGTTTGCTCATTGTTGGCTAACTAAATTACTTTTTTTAAAGAATATTGGACATTATGCAAATAGTTAGTGTGCAGGTGAGCTATCTTGAATGACCATTGAGACTACACACTAATGTGAAAAACCTGAAACAGTGACATTAGTTACAACGATATATACATTTTGTGCATATGAGACTGTTAAAAGACACGTGACATGGAATAGGTTTCTTTGTCAGCTGCATATGAATGGCATATCGTTCCTTTATGTGGATATTGACGGACACATTCCTCGAACAAGGTAATAGAGTGATATCATTGCTAGAAGTTTAGTCGTTTTTAATTGTAATATTTGTCGGAATGTCGGGTGTCGATATACCATGGATAACATAATGTCAGGTGCAGATATACCATTGATAACAAAATGTAAGGTGTAGACTTACCATGGATAACAGAAAGTTATGATCAGGTGCAGATATACAATGGATAACAGAATGTCAGGTGTAGATATACCATGGAGAACAGAATGTCAGGTGTAGATATAACATGGATAACAGACAGTCGGGTGTAGATATACCATGGATAACAGAAAGTCGGGTGTAGATATACCATGGAAAACAGAATGTCAGGTGTAGATATACCATGGATAACAGACTGTCGGGTGTAGATATACCATGGATAACGGAAAGCCGGGTGTAGATATACCATGGATAACAGACTGTCGGGTGTAGATATACCATGGATAACAGAAAGTCGGGTGTAGATATACCATGGATAACAGAATGTCGGGTGTAGATATACCGTGGGTGACAGAATGTCGGGTGTAGATATACCATGGAAAACAGAATGTCAGGTGTAGATATACCATGGATTACAGAATGTCAGGTGTAGATGTACCATGGATAACATACTGTCGGATGTAGATATACCATGGATAACAGAAAGTCGGGTGTAGATATACCTAGATAACAGAAAGTCGGTGTAGATATACCATGGATAACAGACTGTCGGGTGTAGATATACCATGGATAACAGAAAGTCAGGTGTAGATATAACATGGATAACAGAAAGTCGGGTGTAGATATACCGTCGGTGACAGAATGTCAGGTGTAGATATACCATGGAAAACAGAATGTCAGGTGTAGATATTACATGGATAACAGAATGTCGGGTGTAGATATACCATGGATAAAAGACTGTCGGGTGTAGATATACAATGGATAACAGAAAGTCGGGTGTAGATATACCATGGATAACAGAATGTCAGGTGTAGATATACCATGGATTACAGAAAGTCGGGTGTAGATATACCTTGGGTGACAGAATGTCGGGTGTAGATATACCATGGATAACAGAAAGTCAGGTGTAGATATAACATGGATAACAGAAAGTCGGGTGTAGATATACCGTCGGTGACAGAAAGCCGGGTGTAGATATACCATGGATAACAGACTGTCGGGTGTAGATATACCATGGATAACAGAAAGTCGGGTGTAGATATACCATGGATAACAGAATGTCGGGTGTAGATATACCGTGGGTGACAGAATGTCGGGTGTAGATATACCATGGAAAACAGAATGTCAGGTGTAGATATACCATGGATTACAGAATGTCAGGTGTAGATGTACCATGGATAACATACTGTCGGATGTAGATATACCATGGATAACAGAAAGTCGGGTGTGGATATACCATGGATAACAGACTGTCGGGTGTAGATATACCATGGATAACAGAAAGTCGGGTGTAGATATACCTTGGGTGACAGAATGTCGGGTGTAGATATGCCATGGAGAACAGAATGTCAGGTCGAGATATTCCATGGATATCAGGTTTAAAAGAGGTCCCATGCTTTATCTCGAGGATGACTAAACGGAACGGGTGATCTAAGTCTTGGTTCAGGGTATAAAGTGTACTCGAGAATAATAATGCCTCATAATATCAACCACTAGGATGTCAGGTCCAGGCGAACTGGTCAACAGAACACCGTCTCTTATCTCGACTATACAAGATGTGAATAAACGGGGGGTTAAGGACAGACGTCGAGCAACAGTGAAAACACGTCCGTACATTACGCATGTACAGAGCTAGGACAGGGTGACTCCATGTGCTCAAATGTAATGTTCTGGGTGTAGATATACCACAGATATGAGGACCCGTGAAGATCCGGGGTAGACTAGATCATCAGCAACCCATGTGCTTGCCATAAAAAGCGACTATGCTTGTCGTAAGAGGCGACTAACGGGATCGGGTGGTCAGTTTCGCTGACTTGGTTGACACATGTCATCGGTTCCCAATTGCGCAGATCGATGCTCATGCTGTTGATCACTGGATTGTCTGGTCCAGACTCGATTATTTACAGACCGCCGCCATATAGCTAGGATATTGCCGAGTGCGGCGTAAAACTAAACTCACTCACTCACCACAGATATGAGAAAGTCGGTGCGGATATACCATGGGTGACAGAAAACAAAATGTAAACAAACAGGTCTTTCATTGTTAATGAATGTACAAAGCCACGACAGGTTGATATAATATCCTTAATACAATATTCTGGTCTTGTATATACTGTGAGCAACAGAAAGCCGGATGTAGATATGCCATGGATAAATGAATGTCGGGTGTAGGTTTTCCATGGCAGAAAAAAAAATGTAAACAAACAGGCCGTTCATTGACGCCACGACAGGTTGGTGCAATGTCCTTAAATACAATATTTAGAATACATCCTTTCTCTGTGAACAATTTAAGCTGTAATAGAAACACAGTCTTCAATAATTAATCAATCAACACGTGACATCTGTACATAACCTTAAAGTAGTTGATGATGGATACTAGCCGTCCTGGAAAATCACACTGGGACAAGAAATGGTGACAGGGTCAAGTCTTGTCAAAATGCATGGACGTAAATTGCTGAGTCATGATCTGGGACGGTATCTTACTACCAGCGTAAGCAGTTGTGCGCATGCGTTGACATTGCTATATATAACATGCTGTTGATTACAAAGTTACCTTACTCGTCGCCGTGCAGGTATTGAAACACAAACAGGACCTCGACAAACAGGACCTCGACAAACAGGACCTCGGCAAACAGGACCTCAAACAAACAGATTTGCTTGACCAGTCACCTCCTGTTGAAATGGCGCTGAGAGGAAAAGTTGCTATCATTACAGGTGAGATATTTTATTGTGTAATGCGTATAAAGGATATGTTTTTCATGGGTTTGAATCCTCGACCATTGGTATGTCAACAAGCCTGTGAGCAGACCCAGGCTGTAAGATGCGCAAGGAGGCTCAACTAACCGCATCCCTGAGTCTGGCCATCTGACCCTTAAGTCACCAGCATACAGTCAGACTTATGGGGCTAGATTCTAAGCAAGTGGAAACAAAACCTGCCGATGTTGTGGTAGTGATGTTGTGGTAGTGATGTTGTGGTAGTGATGTTGTGGAACTGATGTTGTAGTACTGATGTTGTGGTACAGATGTTTTTGGTGCTTCTAAACGTTCCCATATTACATCCGTGTTGAAAGAACTGCACTGGCTACCGGTTAGGACCAGAATCGAATTTAAGATCCTCTGTCTGACTACAAGTGCCTCCATGGTTTGACTCCATCCTATTTGTCTGAGCTCTACATCCCTATGTTCTCGCACATAACTTGCGCTCAAACACACAAAATCTACATGTCATCCCACCCTACAAACTGAAACCCTCTGGATACTGATCGTTTTCTTACTCTGCACCTGTGCTTTGGAACTCTGACACAACTGACATTTTTAAGTCCTGACGTAAAACCCACCTTTTCTCAGCATATTACTTAAACTGTAAATACTCCTGTGTAAATATTCTGTAGCGCTTTGAGCATGCCTTAGGGTGTGGAATAGACGCATTATAAATATGCATTTATTATTATTGCTGTAAATGTTATGTGTGTCGTTGAGTTTTGTTCAAAAACTAATGTCATTACATACATTGAAATTAAGTGTAGTTACGTAAAATGTATAAAAGAATTCGGAGGCGTGATCTATCTGCAGATCATGTTTACGATTAAAGATTGAAGACAGTCTAATTATTCAGTAAAACTGCCTAGATGCATACGTTTTCTGTCCACGTGAAAAGGGGTGTTGTTTAGACTAACGCTTATTCCCTGAATATATATAATTTAGATAGCAACAAATAAACCCACTCTGACTTTAAAACAAAATGGTTATGTCTCTTTCAAGTCAACTACATTTTAGATTAGCATGGTGAGTTTCTCTCTTCTGCACCCTTACCTCTCACTTTCCCTTACCTCTCACCTTCCCTTACCTCTCTCTTTCCCCATCCTCTTTATTTTTTATCTTCTTTTTTTCATCCAAGTTATTAATAACGGCATCAATAATTCATCAACTGTAACATGCGTCATGTTATCTGTATTACCTTGATGAAATGTAAAATACCATGTACCGTTATTAGTAATAATAATATAAAAATAAATAAATAAATAAACCCAGATCGAAAAGGAGCCCCAGTGTGCCGGGAGAACCTGGAGAAATCTTGAGACTTGCTTCATTTAAGGCTTAAGCATTGCAGGGAAGGCAAGGCAAGGCAGTTGGGGAAATAATGTAGTTCAGGGACTGTGAAACAGATTAGGGTGTTGTGTGTTGACATGAATATATATTATGTAACCAACCGATAGCACCAATTTCTCACCGAGAAAAAAATGTTCAGTACTTTGTGAAAAAAGATTTGTAATTCACAAGGACGTAATATAATGTAATCCCTCGTGAGTTGATTGTCAAAACAGACATGTGACATTTTCTTACGCATCAAAATATGATCAGATCCTTACTGGATGAGTTTGACAGTCAAATGATAGTGTCAGTCCAAGGGCACATAATTCAGCCCAAAGGTTTCTCCTGCTCTTACACATGGGTATATGGATTACTTCATACTACGCCATTAATACACGAGGAATTCTTTGTGTGTTTGATATGAGTCAACACAATATTAATCTCCTCTTTCAGGTTCCAGTTCAGGAATTGGTGCAGGGATTGCAGTAGCGTTTGCAAAAGAAGGGGCCAAACTGTCACTGACTGGTAGGAACCAGAAGAATTTGGAGGACGTGGTCAAGGACTGCAAGAAGGCAGGGTCTCCGGTAAGCAGAGCGCGATGGAGGAAGTCCTCATTCAGTACATCCCCAGAAGTCCAAGGCGCTGCAATTAGGCTTTCAATGTCGTGTCCATTAAGCGAAACAGGTCCGCAAATATACACTGGTACAGTTTGCAATCATGTTAGAAAATAAGTGCCTAAAGCCCTCGATGTCTAACCTCACTGCCACATCGAAGACGGTTATATAGAATAGAAATTATTAAGGTGACGATTACCTTTCTATTTCAGGATGTTCTCATAAACGTGGGAGACGTCACGAAGGATGCTTTCAGAAGGACTCTCGTGGAGGCAACCAAGAAGAAGTTCGGGAAAACAGACATACTGGTGAGTATACTTTAGGTATCGCAGACGGGATGGAAGGACATATGTATGCATATATTCTGTATCACCACGACACATTGGAAAGTCAAAATTAAGTATATCTGTGTTTATTTAGAAGTTGTCACACACTGAGACTCCACAGAGTCACATCTATATGCGTTCTTTGGAGTACTCGAGTTTTATCCCTATTGACTGAACTGTATGGCAATATCGCGATGGGCTACACGGAATTGGGTTTCACATAATGTACCCGTGGGGAATCGAACCAGTCATCAGTGCAAACCCGAGCAAACCCTTCAACCACTAGGCTAAATCACCAGATGGGTTTTAAAGAGATTTGATAGTCAGTGGTAAATTGGTTGATAACGAGTCATAATACCTTGGGGGCGTGGATTGTTGCTCATATTATCAATCACTGGGTTTGCAGACACTTTACATTACCCGACAATGTACAGCCCAGACGCTACAGATGTTGGCGTTAACACCGTGATACAAAGACACAAGTTCTATCATACATGTATGTCTGTGTTTAGGTGAACAATGCTGGGGTCTCAGACCTGAGTCCCCTGCTATCAGCGACCAAAGAGCAGTACGACAGAATGATGGCTGTCAACGTGGAGGCACCTTTGTTTTTGACACAGTTAGTTGCACCGCATTTGATTGAAACAAAAGGTACTTTCTAAATGATTGTGGATTCATGTGTGGATTTATGCCTCGATTTCATTTGTGAAAACAATGTATTCTGAACAAAATTGAAACAAACAGCTTCAGGATTTAAACACAAAGACAGATTACCACTAGACAATTTGCTGTATGCCCTGGAAAAAGGTGTTGTCACCACAAATTGTTCAACTTCTCGTTTCAGAGAAATCATTGTATGTCGTGAAGCTGTAAGTAAAATAGATTCAGTCCTTAACAAATGTCATATAGAACTAGAACTAATTATAGTAGCTGTATGTCCTTTCGACTGCCTATAAGATGTTAAAATGAACACATGATATTTCCTGCTTTCTTCCTGAAGATGTAAAGTCATTAGTTTTAGTCATTAGCTGATTAAATAATTTTGTTTCAGGAAACGTGGTCAATACGTCGTCTTGCGGAACGACCATGATTGTGAGTGTGATGTATATAAGAATAATTCACAACCTGTAAAATGAACAACTTTAAACACCCCATAGCCCTTTGGGTTTATAATAGGTCACACTCTTTACATACGAAGCCGAGCGGATGGTGTATGACCAACATGAGTGCTGTGTAAGGAAAGAGTGAGAGTGTTGGCAATAGAAGTTTCTTTCCTTTTCAAGTTCAGAGACCCTTAATAAATATCATCCTTTTCACATCTATATAAAATGAAGTGAACAGACTGATATTTTCATATATCATGCAAATATGTGAACAGATTTTCAATCTTCTTTCCCGTTCAGATGCCGAATGGAGGTGTCTACATCATGTCGAAGGCGGCCACAGACACATTTACAAGATACCTTGCTCATGGTAAGTATTTATTAGAGGATCAGTAAACCATGTTACCCACTCAAGGCATATCAATCTTATGGAAGCCAAAGCTTTTATCTTACTTGTCTTGAACACTTGACAATGTAAGAATCTGAGATTTAATAGATGCTATATATGCTAATTTAATTCATAAAGAATCTGCGTAACAGTTTGTCCAAGACTATCCTCCCCCGTCACAGAAGTCAAAAGCATAGTTAAGCAACAAATAAACAACAAACACAATTTCTTTCCACAGAACTGTCTCGACATGGAGTACGTGTCAATTCAATCAAGTAAGTACAACCAGAAAACAATAATTGTTGTTGAGGAAAGGTTATGGGGAGATGAGGAATGGTGTAACTTTCACTTGAGTTCAGTTTAAAATGAGATTCACTAACCTGAGCAATATACATCATATGTTTTCATTAGTTGTCATTCCTCCTGGCGGGACGGTTAGTGGAGGCGTCTTACTCAACTCAGTTCAGAATGTCCAATATTCAAAAGATCTTCATTAATATTTCAGAGGCGTCAGAGTCACGCCGACCCTTTCTGGAGTCAGTCACAGATCAATATTATGTACTTTGTAGGCGAGTATTTCAAAAGTCGTACAACTGTACAATATCATCTTCATACATATATATGGTGAAGGTCATTATGTAGTAAGTTGACGTTATTTGACGTTATTTTGTGAATGTTTTATGCAATGACAATGGTGTGTTTTACATTTGTGGTTGATAATGAATATGTTATTCTTCGTTTCTTGCTGTTATTCCCTATACTTTCGACTGTTCTGTTGGTTTATTCTGATACATCGTGACTGTATTCTTTTACCGTTTTACCTGTGAAGGTCCGGGTTAGAATGAGCCTTCAGTAACCCATACTTGTCGTAAGAGGCGACTAACGGGATCGGGTGGTCAGGGTCGCTGGTTTGGTTGACACATGTCATCGGTTCCCAATTGCGTAGATCGATGCTCATGCTGTTGATCACTGGATTGTCTGATCCAGATTCGATTATTTACAGACCGCCGCCATATAGCTAGAATATTGCTGAGTGCGGCGTAAAACTAAACTCACTCACTCACTTTTACAGTTTTACATTCATTGTCAGTGTCGCGTTCATATAGATAGCTGTAGTCACTGTGCTGTTTTCATTGTTTCAGTCCAGGCTTTGTACCCAGTAACATGACTAAAGACGTACCCCCCCAGATAAATACATCTAACCCAGCACATCCTGTTAGGAAGCATGTGATTGAGTGTATACGTGTGTGAGCGAGAGAGAGATAGACATTGTACATATTTCTCCATAAAAATCGTTGTCACCGCCCCCTCCTCTCCCTGGCCCTAAACTTAGCAGTATTCCAGCAACATCACGGCGGGGGGCACCAGAAGTGAGCTTTACACATTGTACTCATGTGGTGAATCGAACCCTGGTCTCTGGCGTAACGGGCGAACGCTTTAACAACTAGGCTACCCCACCGCCCGTCTAAATTATGAACGACCCCTAAGCGTATAGAACCAGCGCCTAAAGTACTCTCTGATCATGGTACAAATACTACATTCTTTCACTATTTAATTCACTCACTTTTTTTCAGATGGCGGAAGCGATAAGAAAGGTGACGCCACTTGGTCGAGCGGGAATCCCAGAAGAAATGGGTCACATTGTGGCCTTCTTAGTCTCGGATAAGGCAGCATTTGTAACTGGAGAGAGTGTCAGGGTCGATGGTGGGTTGACAATGACTACACCAGCCCTTGGATAGAAAACGTTGAGGGAAGCTTGAGGTCTACTTGGATGCTCCATTAGTAGATTGTGTGAGGAACATACTCATGTGTACCAAACACATTCGCCCAACAGACAAATAACAGTGAAATCTGACAGTTGACTTTATTAACAGATGATATAATGCATGGGAAAAGAAATATTTTATGTATTTACTGGAACATTCTGAAATTGTTCTGAAAAATTAAAATTACTAATATGAATACAATGTCATGTATTTAATTCTGTAAGATATTGTCCCACTTATGTTAAACAAATAAATATGTATTCTCAAAACTTTCTCAAAGTTTGTTTTTCTGGTTAAGCAGTGGAGCAGATGTTGGTGATGGGGAGCTTCAGTTGCCGTATCCCCCATCTGGTCATCCTTATTGTGAGCATCAGTATTTTAACTTTTTAAATATATTGTCAAATATTGATTAGTTACCAACTCCATGAAGGCAGTCCGCGTTAGGCGCAGTCGGTAAGGGATGTTCATGATTCAGAACTTCCACCGATAAATCACCGTTAGACAGGAATATGTTGACAACTATGTTGGCTTGCAACACAACTGCTTGCATGGCATAAATATACGGCTGGTTTGCACAGAGCACAAATACTGGAGCGCGTGTGTTGTCTCAGTTTAACAGTCACGTGACAAAATTAATGTCGTTTTCAACTGATAATGAACCCCAATTTAGCATGGGCAAGAGGAACCTGGATGCAGATTTATCATGAATAACAGAAATTCGGGTGCAGACAATGTCCCTTCTAGGATTCCATTCCTGTAGGATGTTCGAGCTATGGTTCAGATACTATTACCCAAAGGCCGTTTTGAAATAGCTCAAATATTGCCAAACAAAATTCAACCATTCGAGTTTTACATCGACAAGAACAGGACACTCCGAGGGAATACTGGTTTGTCCCATACTTTCCATGAAGATGACTTTATGAAGATGTAGTCAGTCGAGGTGACTTGGTTCTGTGTGTGCAGTAATACCCTGACGGTGCTCATAATACCAGTCAGTAGTTTAACGGAAGTAGTATATACAATGGGGGTTCTGGATCACTTTCAACAAAAGCCTCTGCAAAGCCTTATTTGTGAAATAAGGCTTTGGTCGGGCCCTTAGCCCTTGCTACCATTACCCCTACTATAAAAAAGTTTGGGGTGATAGCGGGATACGAACGCCCAATGTTACACCTCCTAGCCACACCACTTAACCGACTGAGCGACCGGGGACATGGTTGAAATGTGTTGGTTTAATGGGTCTATCCTGGGATTGCATCATCCAATACTGGGCTGCGTCTAACGTGCCGCTAGGACACTATTGTGCCGCTATGCCATGTTTACCTCGATGAAACAGTTTAATGTGAATCGCCTATGATCTCTTTGGTGTTTGTAATAAAGGCTTGCTGGGCTTTTTTCACCCCTTGTTCTAGGTACTTTTTTTATCATCATCGCTGATAGCAGACTTACGAGACTTGGATCGAATCTCTTGTTTCATTTTGTTATATTTTGTGAGTTCAGAGAGGATTGAACTAAACTCCTCCTCTGAGATCTTACTGTCAGTGAGTGCAGTGGAAATACGCTCACTTACTGTGTTCAGCTTTGCTTCGGCCAGAACCCTGATCTCGTCGTGTTTCAATGCCTTACGATGCAGTCTGCGTGATGCAAACTTAAGCCACCCCAGCTGTTATTTCAATGCCTAGCACTATAGGTGCAGCCACGATGGTAGCTAACAACCCAACACCTGCC